AAGCCCAGCAGGGTTGCCAATCCTCATTCTCTCTGGCCACCTTGGCACTGCACGGTTAAGCTTCCTGTTTGGTGTATGGCTGCTCAGCTCAGGCCGATGGAAATGTGCCGTGGCTGTCTTATCTATTGCTCCATGCCTCTGCCTATGGAAAGCTGGCTTCCTGGAGACCGATTGTCTATGGAGACCAATGCCCACATCCACAGCTCAGCTTTATGCTGATACAGCCCTGGAGGGGTGACAGGGGTGTCTCTGTGGAAGAATGTCTCTTTGAACAGAGAGGTCCAGGGGCTGAGGTGTTATGTCCAAAGGGAGGAGACATGGAGGGCTAGACTAGATGCCCTGGGAAGCCATGTGGCCTGGGCTTGAATACACCCAGGGGTTGAGTGTTCTCATTGTGGTTCCCTTAACTTCTGTGTGCCTCAGTTTCTCCATCTAACACATGATAGTGACAGTGGTGCTTCAGACTCGGGCTTCTTGTGAGGACAGAGTGGTAATGATTTTGAAGTTCTTGGAACCATGGCTGGGGCAAAGCTCATCCCATCTTTTGCCACGAGGCAATACTTAACCTCTCTGTGCCTCAGTTTCTCCCTCTGTGTATTAGCATGTCAAGCTGGAATGACTCCAAGATTCATCCTTCTCTCTGCATACCAACAAATGCCTTCCGTAGCCTGGACAGTCAAATAAGGTTGGAGAGGGTTGTGGTACCAAGCAGCCACTCTCCAGAAATTATCACTGAATTTCCACCAACCATTTGGAAAGTGAGATCCAAAGGGCTGGGAGTGGGGACCTTGATCGGGCTGTCATGGGAACACAAGGGTCTCATTAAAGGGTCTTCATCTCCAGCTTGCTCAAGTGCCTCTGATGTAAATGCCAGGCCTGAGCTGAGTTTACAGTACCCCTTAGCCCCCATGCCCCTTTCCTGGCACTCTGCTTAGGCGGCACCCTGGCACAACAGGCTGGCAAGAGGCAAACTTCCTTCTCCCTTTGTCAGAGATCAATAGCTCCCTGGGGCTGCAGAGGAAGAGAGATGGAAGGCAGATCAGCAAGATATGCCTGAGAAAAAAGAACCCCCCCACATCCCCCACCCACCCACCTAGTTGCAGCAGCCAGGACCAGGTGTCCAGGCCTGTGCCCTGACTCTCCAGGGGCCCCGGAAGTGAATTTCTCTCTGAAGCAATTTCTACAGCACTGACTGACTGAAGTAGCACTTCTAATTGGCCATTGCTGGAAGGAGGAGACTAGAAAAATGCAGATAAAAATATCCCTGTTTTTTATGCACGTTTCCAGCTGAAATTGGTGGGAAAGATGTTTTTTGAAAAGCCTTCATCTCTAAGCATGTAATTACTAGGTCTCAGAACAACTCCCCCCCCAAAAAGAAATATAAGAGGACAGGAAAATGTGAACATGTTCCCTAAGGGGGGATGCAGGGAGCCAAACCACATGTAGGCATCTATAAATAAAGTGGTCCCCTAATTTCTCACTGCTGTCAGTGAGGGAGTCACCCCCACTTCACAGAGAGTAGAGAGGCTTGGGGCATGCAGCCAGTTGGCAGTTCTGATCCTGCTTTGATTCTTAGTTTGAATGCTGCCTCAGTCTCTCTCAACACAAGGTTGTCCTTGTGGGGTCACTGGTGTCCCCTCTGAAAAGGCATCAGTAGGTATCACCCACTTGCTATGGGTTACTACTCTGAATATGACCGGGGGTTGGGGGGGAGTGGATGTTAGATACAAAAGCCTCTTAGCCCAGCCGGTATGACTTTCTGACCTCCAGTGGGGCCTCTGTGCTCAGCCTGAAATGCCTGTCCTTGCTCAGGCCTCTGCTCACTGTTACGCGCCTCTCTGTGTGTACATGCACATGCATAAAGGAGAAAGCTGGGGCCACTCAGCGTTAAGACTAGCCGATCCGAACAACTTAGCTACCTCATGGAAATTACCACTGTCAAGTTCAGCAGTGAACAGGATCTGGATATTGGGATGAAGAAAAGTGGGACAGTCATCTTTAAAGATGAGTTGGGAGGACACTATAGGGATCGTCAAGGAACAGGGTCCTTTCCTTCAGCAGCTCGCTTGCCCAAGCCTGGCTGCTGAGAGCAGCATTTGGGGATGCCTGACCCTCAGTCCTCTGTTCCTTCTATTTTATCTTCAGGGTTCAAATATGCACCTTCAACCCGCAGCTATTCAGGGCTGCGCATTCCATGGGAGTCACTGCTCTGGCCTGGATAAACTTGTCCTCAGCTTCCTTCAAACACAGACCCCCATACCCTTCCCTCCAGACACATATCTCTCACCTCCCAAGGTCAGCCCAAGGGGGAGGGAGCCTAGGTGACAGGATCTGATTTACCTGGGATGAGACACATTTCAACTTCAGAATTGTCCTGGTGAAATACTAGAGACATTTGCACACATCGCTGATGGAACGCGGCCTTTCTAATTTTATTAGCTTAGAAGCGTCTTGTTGGAGATAATGAAGGATGGACGAGGGAGCAGTAACAGGAGGCATTAGACTAAATGGTGTGTTGCTGGAATCAGCAATGGCTGGGAACGTGGGTCTGAGAAGGAGGGTGAACACAGAATTGCTGGGGACCCCACTCCAGGATCCCTAAATGCTGCTCACTCCAACTGCTGTTTGATTGGTAATTTACCAGCCTTTTTGGCCAGCAGAGGAAGTCTGGTCACTCAGTAGAGTGAGCCCAGACAGCTTCTTATGGGTTAGACTAAAGATGATGAACATTTCCATGAGCTGTGGCCCTGACCCTGGCCAAGCCTTTCCCCTACTAGTCTGAACATGGCCCTGGTCACAGAACAGTGGTTCTCAGCAGAGGCTGATGTCACTGCCTGTCCTGCTTTCTCAGGAAATCCCTGGAATAATTTTTGGCTATTTCAGGATCTATTGATGACTGGAAGTAGGGACCAGGAGATAATGTGAACCTTCCTACAATAAATAGGCCCCTTTCCAAAAAATGTCGGCAGAGCTGAGGTTGATAAACTCACTGAGCCCTGACCGCAGACCAAACTGTCTTGACCTAGGTTGATTTGCGTGGCTGACCCCTAGTACAGAAAGACCAAGCTGGGATGAGGCATGTGGGCTTTTCCATCCGCAGAGGGATTGTGGCTTCGGTCTGACCGCAAGACTTAAGGGAGAAGAAGATACCACCTCACAGCTGTCGACTGACAGGCACCATCCACTTAGAAAGATGGTCCTTTCTGCTCTGAGCTGGACTTCCTTAAGAGGCAGATGGGGGCACATGCAGTATCAAGTGAGGTCTGAGGAGGGGGCGGGAAGCTGCAGGTGCACCTGGTAGCTGGGAAGGCTGCCTCCTCCTCAGCACGGGGAGCCTGCCAGCTTAATGATTGTCAGCCAGGTGCTGAGAAAAACGAGGCTGCTTGGAGGAGCATGATGGATAGCCTGGTCAAGAGAGGGGGTGGAAATGGGGGCACAAAGGCTTGGAGCAGCCACTCACTCAGACTTTCTTATCTGTCAAGTGGACATGAAGGTCTTACCTACCTGTCTCCCTCCCTGGGTCACGGTGAGCATCAAATGAAGGTGCAGCTGTGAGAACAGGAAAGTCCAGAGAAGAAATTGTGTGAAGCAGGGGACCTGCAGGAAAGGAGGGGCGGTGGCTTGACCACAGAGTGGGTGACCCGGATACCGTGCAACTTCAGACTGTTCTAAAACACAGATGTGGGTGAGCCTGGGAATGGGGGACGGCATCAATTTGCAGACAGGGCAAGACACAGCTCTCCCAGGAGCATGCAGACCACTGAGCCATTAGACTTTCTGGGTTAAGCGGGCTCTGCTGCACCAGGGCTGTCCCCAGGTGTTGTAGGGGAAATGCTTCCGTGGCCTGGAAATATCAAAAGCCCCAAAGCTTAGATCATGCTCCTAAAACAGTGTCGTGTGTGTGTGTGTCTGTGTGTGTGTGTGTGTGTGTGTGTGTGTGTGTGTGTGTGCGTGACCCCTGTGTATCCCAAGAACTGTCAGCTTGCCTGTGCCGCCGCTGCGGACCAACCAACCACACATCAAAAATACCGGGAAAAATGTGTCTGAACATACCGAAGCTCCTCCTCACTACATACTGTGTTAGTCAGTGTTCAAGGGCTCTGGGACCCCCATTCCTGGTGAATGCTGAGGGACAACTTAGCTGCCTCATCTCCAGATTTCTTAAAATGCCTAGCGCAATGTCTGCGTTTGTCAGAGCTGCTGTCCCGTGTTGCCTAGGGATTCATGAAAGAGAAAATAAACAAAATCCAAAAACTGAAAACCTGGGCATGTTCGGTATAGGAGCGATTGTTTTCTGAACATTTTTTTTCATAGTTGAGTCTGCAGGTGTGGAAACAGAGGCCTGACTGTATTCTCTTTACATTTGAGATAGCTGGAGTGGGAGGGAGGGGTTGTTGCTTTGTTATGCTTTGATGAGGGCCTCAGAGGGTAGGCTGCCCTTGAAGTCCCTATATGGTTGAGGAAGACCCTAAGCAACTCCTCACCTGTCTCTGCCTCTGGAGTGGCGGGGTTGCAACACGTGCCACCACGCTGTGCTCTAGGAACTCTTTACAAATCCCGCAAAGACAAGTGTCTGTGCTGTTGAGACATGCTCCAGAAAGATAAGGCAGGAAATGAGAGAGGTTGGTGAGGATCTGGGAAAAGAGTGGCAGGCCTCAGTTTTGAGAGACAGAGAGGCTGAAAATCAATGCTTGATGATACAATGGGAGAGATTTTTCCATCCAGTAACACACACACACACTCACACCGGTCACGCCTGCTCACAGAAACTGTGGTAAATGCCTGCCCCATCAGGTGTGCCTCTTGACCCTGGGACAGGGCCAACTGGCCTGGGTTCTAAGTTAGATGGTAACTCCCCAGCTGTGCGACGCTGAACTCTTTGCAGGATACCAGGTATAACCACTGGCCTGGCATGAAGTGGACGAGCTCCCCAAGTGGAATGAAGATGAAAGTGGGGGCTGGGCCAGTTTCTCATCCCAAACTCTACCTTTCTCCCACAGACGATGGGCCTTACTCAAAAGCGGGGAAGGACGCAGCTGGGGCCGACGGGGCCCTGGCGTGCCGCCGTCAGAGCATTCCTGGTACGGTGGGTCATAGTTTGCCCCGAGCTCTACCCTGAGATTTCTAATGACTCATGAAGTGTGGGCACTGCCACTAACTGGCCCTGTGCCCTCAGTGTGGGCACTCACTGCTCTGGTCCTCCCTGGTGGAGGGTGATGTCACCCCATATAAAGTGATTGAGTGCCAACCTCCCCAGCTTAACTCCCTCCACTTGGTCCCAGAGTGGGCACTACCTGCTCATCTCCCTGTCTGCCCACAGAGGAGTTCCGGGGCATCACCATGGTGGAGCTGATTAAGCGTGAGGGCAGCACTCTGGGCCTGACTATCTCAGGAGGAACTGACAAGGACGGGAAGCCCAGAGTCTCCAACCTGAGACCTGGGGGCCTGGCTGCCAGGTGAGAGGTGTGGGCCAGTAGACAGGGCATGGGGAGAGCACAAACAAGTGAGGAGGCTTGATGTCTGCCATGGGGAAGCCTTCGTCAGAGGCCGATTCAAGACCCAGCCTCTTTCCTTCTCTTCCCCTGTGGCTACAGCATCACACCCAAGAGCAGGTACCCTTCCATGCCGCCCCCTCTGCCCCCAAGGCACCCTCCTGGCAGACTCCCATTCATCCCTCCACATGCAACGAAGAAGTCACTGCTTCCAGGAAGCCCTCCAGGGCTTCCAACTAAGGTAGTGCTCTGTACATGCTGTCCTGGCTGTCCCCTTAGACAATGAGGGTTGGAAGTTGACCCTAGTGTCCAGATGAACCCATCAGAAGGGGTTCAGAGGATTGTGGAGAGAGAATGAGAGAAGAGCAATGGGTGGGACACATTGGCTGTTCTTCAGGCTGTGCAGGGTGGTCAGTGATGTCACCACGATGCTGTCACCAGGCCAGCACAATGGGACAGGAAGGGACAGTCTGGGTGTCCTACCCAGGCTTGGTTAGACGGGCACTATCCCAGGCCCTTGCCATGGACAAGGGAAGGACTGCTCTGAGCCTCAGCTCCCTCAGGTTTCTGGGGGAGGGTAGTGTGAATGTTGGTCCCCAGAGGCTAGCATTGGTTCAGACGGGCTCTGGCTTTCATGCTTCAGGAGTGATCTACTGAATGTGGGCGACTACATCCGCTCAGTGAACGGGATCCATCTGACCCGGCTCCGACATGACGAGATCATCACCCTGCTGAAGAATGTGGGCGAGCGCGTGGTGCTGGAGGTGGAGTATGAGCTGCCCCCGCCTGGTGGGTGCCCTTGGACGGGGAACTCTGTCCACTGCCTCAAGCATAGGGGTGACACAGCTACCTCCCTGCCCTGGGCCTGGGGTGGGGTTGGGGATATCCTAGGCAGGATGGGTGATGTCTGGAGGCTGGCCACATACACACTGGAGCGTGGATACAGTATGTTGTTACCAGATGGTGGTGGGACCCTGTTCGTAACCTGTCATTTTGCATAGTTGGTTAGAAAGGAAGGTCTGGGGATAAGGGCTGAATACGTTGTTCCCCTCCCCATGGCTCCCAACCCCACTGCCCTGCACTGAGCACAGTGGCCTAGGATTTCTCCCAGCTCTGAGTTTTCAAAGTTAGTCTAGCATCTTACCTGGAGTGACTAGAAGCAAGCCTGGCCTAACCCCCAGCCTCACTGTATCCTGGGCTCTGCTGTGGTCCTCATGAGCGTATCAGGTCTTCTGCCCTATCTGTGGTAGACTAGGTATGGGTAAAGATGGGGGCCTCCCAGCACCCCATCTTCTCTGCCTGTAGAGTAGAAAGAGGTCAGTCTATGAAGCAGAGAGAGGTGACTTTGTGGCTGGCCACTTGGTTCTCCTGGAGAACCTTCGGCACATCTACCAGCACGGAGATGTGGCGGAAAGACTCAAAGGAGGCCTCAATTTCTCCATAGCTCCCGAAAACAACCCGAGGATCATTTCCAAGACGGTGGATGTCTCCCTCTACAAGGAAGGCAATAGCTTCGGCTTTGTCCTCAGAGGTCAGTGTAACAGCTCTCCTTAGAGTTGAGATGACGAGAATGAGGTCATCGAGGATCCATGTATGTTCCGTGTCACTGTGTCACGTTAGTGCATGTGACATACATTTTGTTTAGGACTTTATCTGTTTATTTAGCTTTGTGTTCGTGCACGCACATGCATGCGTCGATGCAATGTGACGTGTGTATAAGGGTCAGAGGACAACTTGTAGGAGTCACGTCTCACTTCACTGAATGGGTTCTGTGTATGAAACTCGGATCATGAGGCCTGGCAGCTAGGACCTTTACCTGCTGAGCCGTATCTCACCAGCTCTTGCTTAGCATTTTAAAGATCCCAGGACCACTGAATCAAACGTTAAATGGACAGTTTCGAGAAGCAATGAAGTATGCGTGGCTGGTGGGAGAACAACAACGGAGAGGAATGGGAAAGCTGTGGCAGATTCATAACGAAGTTTGAAGTTACCTAGTAACCAGGGCAAAAAGGAAGAGAAGATGAGATTACAGGAGAGCCATGCGATGTGACAGAGAAAGGATTTGAGTTGTGTTTCCTAGCCCTCATCCCACCTGTGGAGAGGGAGGCCGCCTGGGCTGGTGGAACAGGGGCCTCCAGGGGAACAGTGGGTAAGTGATTTTTGCTGCTTCCTGTTGAATTCTGTCCAGGAGGTGCCCACGAGGACCTGCACAAATCCCGCCCTTTGGTTCTGACTTATGTGCGACCTGGTGGCCCAGCAGACAGGTGAGTCCGCCTGAGACAGAAGCATCTACCTCCCCTAGCCATTTGACACATGGAAACCTTGTGGACACTATGTGGTCCTCTGAAGCCCTTCATCTTCACATCATTTCCCAGAAGGGAGACTGAGGCCAGGAGGGGACATCCTGCCCAGTGTCACTCAGGGAACTGGTGGAGGTGGCTAGGAGAGACCCCAGCTCGCATCTTCCAGCACCCTCCTGACTCAAGCAGAGCACTCTGGGCTCTGTGACTAGCCATCACAGAGCTGGGACTGTCTGTGAAAACCTCTCATGCCCCAGCAGTGCCTGGCTCAGCCTAGCAGGGCTGGGAGGACAGGGCATGGGAGGAAAAAATGCCTAGGCCCTGCCCCTGTCCCCTGACCTCTCACCCTTGATCTCTGAGCAGGAGACTTCTGACCATTTTAAGAGAAGCCTGGACCAGGCTTGTTTCAGATCTAAATTTGTCCCCTTGGTCTGGGGCCCTGCATGAGTTGCTATTCATAGAACCTCCTGGAATAGCTTTGGCACCTGTCAGGGGTGACATTCCAGGGCAGGGGCTGGGCCCAAACTGGAGGCCTGCTGAGTTCTTTCCCAAGCTCATCTGTCATTATGCCAGTCACTACTGGAAAATCGGGGTGGGGACAATGGGAGGGGACTCTACAGTGAGCAACGTGATACCCACAGATGGCCCTTTCCCTGATGCTATGTGTCCCCAGCCAGGCAGACACCCTGTCTGGGCCATGGTGCAGGGGGTGAGAGAGTGGCCTTGAAGAACACACCCAGCTCTGACATGCTGTGGGTAGAGGGCATCAGAGCTGGGCTGGTCCATTTTACTTGCCTCTCTATCTGTTCACCTTCCTAATCACTCAGGCTTCCCGCCACATACTTCGTGTCACATTCCTGTACCCTTCAGCTGATTGGGCTTTCATCTCTTCTGCAGGGAGGGCTCCTTAAAGGTGGGTGACAGGCTGCTCAGCATAGATGGGATCCCCCTGCATGGGGCCAGCCATGCTACGGCAATAGCCACCCTACAGCAGTGCAGCCACGAGGCTCTTTTCCAGGTGGAGTACGACGTAGCCACCCCAGGTACATTGGGGTCCGAGGGTAAGGGCTGGGGCAGGAAGAGGCCCCAGATCCTCGGTACTGCAAAGGCTATGTGGGCTTAGGCCAGTACCTTAGCCTCTCTGAGCCTCTTGACAATATCATGCGTCTCCTGATTTCACTGGGGATCTGGTAGGGACAATACAGGTGAAGTGTCTGGTCTTTTGGGGAGGGAATGTTAAAAAGCAATACTAGGTAAATGTTAAATGGCAGGGTAAAAGAATGAAGAGAGAAGGGAAGCAGCTGAGTGTGTGTGTGTGTGTGTGTGTGTGTGTGTGTGTGTGTGTGTGTGTG